TAATTGTTACAACTTTTATTGCTGATATTGCATGCAACTGTTGCCGCTGTTGCCTGTTGTGTTGCTGCTGCTGCTGCTGTTGCTAGTTGCCGGTTGGTGTGATTGTTGTTGCGGCGGCAACACATGGCCGACTGGCTGGGTTTGCCGTTGTTATTATTACGATTATTGCATTGTTATTGGCCTTTTATTGCATCTGCAATCGCTTCTTGTCTTGGCAACTTGAAAAGCGGAAGACTTGGTGGTATGCAAAGAAGTGGAGCTGCCATTAGTGTCATTTTGGCCATGGTTTACGGGAGGCACTGAGAAAAATAGGGAATGTATAATGATGTCATGATTTTACTTTTTAACCAAAATGTAAATTATTTTATTAGGAAATATTTATTAACATTAATTCGTTATTCCTTATTTGTTTAAACACAAACTAAATATTGCCCTATTAAAATGTATATTTCTTTAAAAACAAATAGATTGCTTGTATACGTTCTTTAATAATTAGGAAACTGTTAAATTTTTCATATAAAAATGTATTAAATACCATTCATTTATGAAGTAAAATGTCAACAATATCCTTCATAATGCTTCCGCTTTTTTAAGATTTTCCATGAAATTTTATGACAAAGTTTCCAGAAGCTCAGTTTATAATTAATAAAAAATATCCATTAATATTAGCCTTCATACAATAGTTTTTTATACTATTTAAGCCAGCTTAAAATAATATTCCCCGTACAGGTAAATTTTTTGTTACCATTAAAGTCAGCTTATAATTTTTTCTGTGCAAGCCCTATACAAATTTCCATCATATGGATGTTTTTTTTATTGTTTGTCGTTTGATTTTCCTTCTTCTTTTTTTCGAGGCAGCTCCTTTTTTTGGACTCGGAGTTTTTTGGGGGGCCGAGTGAAGCACCGTTTGTTGTTCTTTGGATGTCGTCGACCGACATTGTTGCGATATTGTCAGCGCATGTGGGAACGAACACAAACAACGGCGTTTTGTTTGCACAAGCGTGCCGGGCCAAACATAACCGATGGAGGGGGAGTTAGTTATGGGTGGGAGTTCGGGAGAATAGGGGGCGGGGTCACGGCCCTACTCGGGCCCCCGCCCTGTCGCTTAGGCAAAACGTGGCACTTGGACACGATTTCTGGTGTGTGCTGTGCCGTGTGTGTGGTGTGGTGTGTCTGTGCTTTTGTTTGATTTTATGTTCCACAGTTTTTTTTTTTTATTTTTGGCTGTCCACTTTTTATTGTTTTGCGGCCTGCATATTATATTTGGTCATTCCTTGTTTTACCAATACAATTTTTGATTGTATACCCGATTTTATTTATTGGCGGCTGTTTTGACCATTTTGGGTTGGCTGGTTATTAGAAATGAAATGTTTGGAAATTATGTGAGTTCAACTCAAAAGCAAAAGTCATTTACAAACCGTTACGAGCCTTCTACGAAACTTTTTTAATATACGAAAATGTTTAAGCTAAACTTTTAGAATGGTTACGAGGAATAAATCAAATGAGTGGCAGCATATTGACTTTGATGAGCTGGTCTATGATGATCTCATTGGCTGGCTGAGACCATATTAAACATCATCATTCTCAGCATATATTCAGACACATTCCTGGTTGGCCATCTTGATAGGAGATCTCATTATTTCCATGCAATTTAGTGGCTTTCTATCTAGAGGCGATAATCAGCTTTTTGCCAACTTGTTTAGCATGCTCAATTATATATGAAATGATATCTGAATATGTAAATACTTGTATATGTTTGATATTTTAGCTGTTTAATTTCGCATTCATGGCTGGCAAGCTCTGGCTCTAACTAATTGACACTTAACATGGCTTGGAGTATTTTGAAGTTAATTGTGTGTCGACGTCAACGATGTTGCCTCCTCAACTCCCCCGTCCTTCTCAAAAACTCAAAACATTTGTTGTTCGTTTTGTCGAATTTTGTGTGCTTGTTTGTATTTAAATTGCCTTGTCGCTTGTTTAGTTGTTTCGGCAATGGTTTTGCATTTCACTGCACTTGATAGGTATTTTACAGATACACCTGAAATTACACAACATAATGATAAGCCAAAACAAGAATCCTTGTGATTTTGGTGCTCTTGTTAATCTGGAATAATTAAAAAATTAATACAACCTCTAGCCAGAGTAGAAATTGTGAATTTTACCAGTATTAAAGTTTCTCAGTTACCCAAAAATGTGCCTTTATTTATTTTTCAGAGCCCTCCCAACCAGTTTTATATTTTTTCGTGGCCTTTGTTTATTATTTTTTACATTTTTATGCTCCATTTTCGATTTCAATTGCCAATGTCTCTCTCGGAAATAACAAAAATGAAGTATTGTCAAAAAAATAAATGCAAAATATTTAACAACTTGGTTGAGCTTCCCCCTTGAATGTTCGCTCGTATTGCCAGCCAAACAATTGCGACCAACAACCGAGTCGAGTGCATATAACTTGGCTGCTCTTTGCATGTGAATGATAAGTTGATTTTATCGAGAGCGTTGGGTTATACCCACAAATTGGACAAACGAATCGTTAAAGTTCAGTATTAAAAACAGGAGGGAGTGTGATAAAAACATATAAGCCAAAGTGATTGCTTCGGAATATAAACTAAAGTAAGAAACTTTTAATTTGAAACATGTTGAGTGTTTTAGTATATACAATTTTAAATAATTAAATGTGTTTTCCCAACTGAAAAGGTAGACAAGTCATAATGAAAAGTTACGTTTATCAGGGATTGAGCTAGCAGATCTACGGTCTGCCTTGGTTTAAGTTGGAAAATTGGACAAAATAGCAAAATGCTTTCTTTTTTCTGGTGGTTGATCAAGAGCCACTTCGTCGTGTGCTTTTTTTACCTAAAAGCGTCTTCCTTATGGATATAGGTAAGCATTTTTAATGGTAAGCTTTGTATATAGTAACCTAATATACTCTTTGCACGAACTGTCTACCAAATAAATCATAGCAAACTCCTATTATTATATATATTCATTTCAAAATGGAGTTCAATCAGCATTTGGATTCTGTTCTCATCACATTTTTGGATATACTTTCCGAGGAGAACCCCCACATAGATGGTGTATTTTATTCAGAGATGCCTAAAGTTGGTCAAGAATCTACAGAATCGACAGCAGAAGATGCTGTGAAAGTGGATAGCCTTGGCATCTTCTACAGTGAGTTTGAGCTGATCTTGGACAATATCTTTATGATCAGCGATATATAATCCAAAACTCTTGAAGAAAATCTGCCAAGCAAAACTTAAATCAATGATTTTCTTCAATTCCTGTTGACATAATTTCCCTATTGAAGGCCTCCCAAACTTAAAATGGAAATGAAATTGTCATTGAAAAGCGAGGATAATATAACTTTGAGCATTGGCATTGCGATTCAGAAAACAATTTGCCTCGTTGCATGTACAGAGTTGCATAAATAATTAAAATGTTGGCATTAGTTTTTCATGCAGCTCGCATGTTGTCAGCTCGAATTTCAATAAGCACTCTAATTGTTTTTAAGTGTTTTTCTAGCTGCGACAACGCCGGCTGCAGTCGTGTGCAGCGCAAATGAGCCGTAATTGCATAATTCTAATTTAGCGTCGAGTTCTAAGCACCAAAAACATGTTGACTACAATTTATGCACGTCCATGTGTCGGTGCCGGGTGTGTGTTTATGTTTGTGTGTGTGTGCTTTGGGTGGGTGTACATAGTGTGTACGTGAACGTGAGCCCGGCTCACTCGCTCACTCACTCACTCGTTTTACTTAATAACTCAATGCAAGTGCACCTAACATAGGTGTTGCCGCTGCCGTTGCTCGGGAGTTGAAGTTTGGCCAGGAAAATCGGTGGCGCTGTGGATGGGCTAACTGCCATAATTGGGCGGTGTAGGTGTTAAGCGGGGCTGCTGTTAGGGGGAGATATGATGGTGGAAAGGCGATGGAAAAGTGTACTCACACGAGGACCAGGTGGCAGCAAGTGGCGGAAAATGTTTCGCTGACAAAGTTCTTGGTCAGAAGTCAGTGGGAAGTAAAGTCGAGGTCGATTATTAAATTTTTATCATATATTACAAGCCTTTTCTCAAAACTAAAGCTCTTTGAGGTATCTTAAGAGACATTGTACTGAGTGAAATTCCTTAAACTATTCAATAATTGATTTATTTTTAACCAACACAATCAATAATAAATGAAAAGCAGCTTTGAATTGTATTTTCCCATATTTCAAATTGATTTTAAAGTGTTAACAATATGTTTTTGTTTATATTTACTTTACAATGTCAATAGCAAATATTTACCTTAAATCGTGTGCAGTCAACAACGAATTTTTTTTTGTAAAATGTCCTTGGGGATATTATCGCATTTAATTTTACACCGTAAGTGTCACAATTCCAACTTGATTCCTTGTGTCACCTGTGCTGGAAATGCATGAAATTCAAGTGGATATAAACACAAGCATATATATATATAATACATATACACACACGCAGAAAGGTGTGCTGTTTTGTGGGCGAGTGTGCATTTAAATCCTTATTGCGACACCTGCACAAAGCAAATACCAATTAAAGGCTTTTCACATGCAGACCCACGCCGACTTTGGGTGGGTTGTGTGGGCGTTTTTGGTGGCGGCGGTGTGTGCGTGTGTGGGCAAGGATACCGCACTTGCATGACATTAAGTTGCTACCTTCCACCTTGCTCTTCCACAGAAAGAAAATGAGTAAATTAAGTATAATATAATATAATATTGGAATATTTTGCAGTATAAATATAATATAAATAAATATAAAAATAATTTTTGTAAGTTATTCATCGATAAAAAGGCTGCCTCATATTTTTCGCAGTGCATCAACATCCACTCCAATCGAACAACAAACAAATTTACCCAACGAGTGGCTGACCGTGTCGTGCTTGGCCAAGACCAATTTATTTGGCCCGGTCAAGTCCGCCACGAAGGACCTCAGCTCGGAGATCGGCTTATTGAGAGGCGGTGACAATCACGATATCCACTTGCCATGAGCCGACCGATGGCCGAAAAGGGTGAAGGCCTCACCAGGAGCAGGAACCGAGACCTGTTCTGGAGGTTTGTGAACTACTTAAAGGATTACTGCGCCAATTGTACGTTGGTCGGCTTCGCCTACATTGCCAACTCCAGGTGGGTAAAGAGCTTTCTCTCGATATTGGATCACCATTCGGTTTAGTTCTTTTTCGACTGCAGGCTGCATTTCACGGAGCGCATCTTTTGGCTATTTTGTGTCATGCTTTCCACCATGGGTTGCTATTACCTGATCTATGACTATCAGCGCAGCTTTCCCACTCGTGCCGCCAGCATCGTTTACGAGAGTCTGCCGCCATTTTCCAAATGGAAATTCCCCACAATCAGCTTGTGTGAAGTTGTCTACAAGTATGAGTTGACCCAAGAAGTGGAGGACTACATTCGCAGGTTGGGATTGCCTAGATAGGATAAAGGCGATACAACGAATCTCTACCGATTCTTTCAGTTTGGGTGGCGATGTCGATGGGGACTATAACTTTGAAGTAGAGTCCCATATAGCATACATTCTGTTTCCACATCAGTACCACGAGGGCATAATAAAGAATCACTGCACTCCGCCGGAGGAGGAGTGCCCGAATTGTGCCCAATGTCCTGCTGAGAATTATCGCCAAATACAAAGTCGGGTAAGCGTTAAATGGTATCAAAAACAGTTGGAAAACTTAACTTTCATTGATAAGAATACCTGTTTCCCAGTACGGAGCCAACTGTTCAGATCTTTTCGTGGATTGTCAGCTTTCTGGAAGGAAATTTGACTGCTGTCGGTATTTTTTGCCCATGATCACTCCCTACGGAAGCTGTTTTATGCTCAACTCACTGCAAAACAATGAGCCTGGATCCAAGCATTGGCTGCCCACCGAACTGGATCCCGCCACCGAAAAGGCTCTGCTCCAGGTGATAACGAGTTTGCCGGTGCAGGTGAGTCTGCTGAACGCCGAGGATATTCCTCACACAGCTCTGCAGCCGGTGGGAGTTTCTGTCACGGACCCGGGACAGGGTAAGTATCTGCAATTCCATCGGGAAACCATGGAGAATGATCCGGATGTGCATGAGATCGATCCGAAGCTGCGTAGCTGCCGCTTCCCCGAGGAGAATCTGCCGTCGAGCGTTTACAAGGCCTATAGCTTCAGTACCTGTCTCAGCGATTGCACGAGGAATTTTCAGATGGCCAAGTGCGGTTGCACGCCGTACTTTATGAATCCCCTGGCCGATCCGCGATATCCGGACTGTGGCCTGGAGGGTCTCCTCTGCTTGGAGCTCAATATGGTGGCTAAGCCCGATGCCAAGTTGCTGATGAATAACAACAAGGGCTTCAACGATAGCTGTGGCTGCCTGCCATCCTGCAATGATGGCGATATTCAAGCCATTTACGAGGCTATTTCCACGTGAGTTTAATAAGTAAATAAATTAACAATTAATTAATTAATTAATGCACAAAAATAGGTTCGAAAAGGGAGCTACAGTGCGCAATATTACCCTCTCGATGCCCGCTCTGCCCACGGATCAGTACCGGCGACAGGCGCTCCGCACGAGGCTGGATACGGTGGTGTCCGTGGGCGGGATGCTGGGCCTCTTCCTGGGAGCCAGCATTCTCAGTGGCATTGAGTTTATCTATTTTTTCACAGTACGAGCCATCAACAATGCCAGGAGGAAGCGCTCAGCTCGTCCGTAATTGGTAACTTGTCAGCTGCAAATATGAAATAAATATTTACTCTGCAACTTTTAAATCCACAAAGAAATTTTATATTAACAGCCTCTCTTCGCTTCAGCAAAAAAGTATCAAAATTGTAGACTTTTGATTAAGGATAAATTGTATACTTTTGCGTTTAAAATATTGTTTGTAGTGCAAGCGATTTTACTAGCCAGTGTACATGTGCCTTGACCTCGGTCACAAGTGGCGTATGCGCAATTTAAAAATTTTATTAAATATTTGCTCGGCTCGGTCACTGCAATGCGCATTAAAAATGCAGCCATGGCATGCCGTCAGGATGCCAAGGATACCGACCGATGCCGCGCGAGCCAAGTGTGAAACTGAAAATCAATGAAACACAATTTGCACAGTCAGCAAACGCCTCTTGGCGACAACTGCAGCATCTACAGATGTACGTATATATACTATAGAATATATAGTGTAGGGATATTTGTGTCGCCTCGGATTTGGCCACCTCTCAGGCTTAATATGTATTTCATTTGCTTGGCTTATGGCGCCCCGTTTTAAATATTTAAAATGCCACAAAAACAATAGAAAAGTGGACTAAAAGCAGCGAGAGAAATGTAATCACATTAATTATTAGCCACTGGCACTTTCCTTTGGCTTTTCGCCCTTTTTCGTCGGCATTGTTGCTTTGGTCACCTCAACAAAGGTTAATTAATTATGCCCTACACCAATTAAAGAGACACGGAATGGGCCTAAGCTTTTACCGGCTGGAAAACTCAAGTGAAATGTGCTCAAAAACAATGTTGTACTCAAGCTGAAGTGGGTCGTTGGGAATATTTGAGGTTCACATCTTGAAGGCATTAAAGATTAATTAAAACTATAAAAAGTTTACTTAACTTGCTAACTAACTTGAAATTTAAATTGTAAAAATACCTGCTATAGAGACAAATATTTGTTCTTAGATTATATACATTTAAAATAGATAATCAATAATAAAAGAGACTTTTCATTAAATTATATTAGATTTAAACATAATATAAAATTTATTTATTGTCTGTTTACATTTTCCTTTCATTTAAAAATAAATGCCGACTGTTTTTTCAAGAATAAGACTTAAAGAGCATTAAAAGAGTCCGTAAAACTTAACCACAATAACTTTTTCAACTAAAAGGACCCAAGGAAATGGAATAAAAATCTTTTGCCGCCTTTTGCCGCAAACTCATAAATAATACTTTCGCATTTTCTTGCGTATATATACTTGTATTTTTTATATATTTTTCTGACTTTCTTTGAGCATGAATTCCTTTCCATTTCATTACATTTCATTTGCCTGTGGGTCTTCCTCGCCTTCTACTTCAACACATTCATGTCCCGCACTCATATTTATTGTGCATTTGTATTTGGTTTATGATGGAAATCCCCTTTGCTCACTCAAAGGATTTTTCCGAACAAAACGGCCAAGGGGGAAAAGGTCAAACGAATTGCAGTGAAAGTGTAAGCAACGCCACCAACAATGTTAACCGTATCTGTCCAGAGCAACTTTTCCAGGGGACATTGTTGCTGGTGTCGGGTATATCATTTATCAAGCTCAGCAAGGGCAGAAAAAAAGACAACGGAAAAATGACGGAAAGTAGAGAGAAAAGAAAAAAAAAACTAAAACAGAAATAAGGAAACAAGAACATTTTTGTCATGTTAAACTGTCAGAGTGCGCATTTAGTCATTACTTACATTTTCTGCTTTTCCGCTCGCACTTTTCCTTCGCTGTCAGTCTCATGCAAATGCAGGACACACACACACTCTTGCACAGAGAAAAATATTATAATTTAATAAATATTAATATAATTATAGAGAAATGGGAAGCCAAGAATCGATCCATTTTGGTCCAATATAAAGAAAATCTGACTGAAATAAATATTACATTTTATATTCAATAAAATAACTTTGACTAAAATTATAAGTTAAGGGTGTAACACTTCTCTTTCTCTCAAAAATTTAGTTTCCTTTTTTCTCAGTGCACAAACACATACTCACCCACACCTACACATGTCACACACTTGGCCAAAATGTAATTAAAAGTTGCCATGCAAGTCTGCGGTTAAGCTTCTGGCCATTAGCATAACGCTGAAAAGTATGCTAGACTATGTAGTATATAGTATGTATAATTTAAATGAAACGCCGCATCGTCATTTATCAAAACGGCTCGCAAAATGTTAATTATTATGTTTTATTGCCCCCGAAAGTCGGTGTCGCCGTTTTTCTGATTTTATTCCAACGCTGGCCCCGTGATTTAGCCGGACAGTTTGAAATATGCTGCCGGCATGTGGTCGCTTGACCGGGCCAAAAACCAGGATTGCTGCCGGCAACTTAAATCATTCGCCGGCTGACAACCACGAGCACATACTCCGCACCAGTTTCTCTATATATATGGGTATATATGCATATAAATATAATTTTATAATGCTTTCCGGTCATTGATTTAAGCGAGGCGCCGCCTAGGAAGGAAGAGTGCCTCGTGAACAAGTTCGAAATAATTAAAATTCAAATAACTTCATTAAAATTTAATTCGAGTGCCAGGGAATTGCCAGTAAGTGGGCAGGCTCTCTTGGCTGCATTTCAATTGCAGCAATTGCGATTGCCAATGGGAGACGCTAAAATAAGCAATTGCCAGTGAACTCCTAAAAGAAATCGTCGAGTGGCTGGCACGGTGTAAAGGCAAGGCGAGAACGAAGGAAAACTCGAGTTTCCTTTTTCTCCAGGTAGCAGTGGAAATGGTAACTATTTTTCAATTACCTTTTTCGCACGCACGTTTGCTTAGCATTCGGCTCCTTTGAGCAGGATATTGGCCAGAGATGCCAGCAGCCAGCAGTCAGATATTCCTCGGAATGCTCTATCCACTTGCGCCACTTTATTTATGATGATCCCTCTGGTTAGCACAGTGTTTATTTGGATAACTATATATATTTCTGATTTGCTAATTTCGAATGTTTGCCGGCCAAAGAGGGGGCTCGAAATCAATTTAAATTAACATGAAGCAGGGAATATCAATTTCGTCTAAGTAAACATCACTCAATTGTTATTTCAGCTCTTTATTTTCCTATTTATATGCCATCGTCCTGGTTTTTTCTTCTTTTTTTTGCCATCTCACATGGAAACGGTTGAGTGTGCTTAGTGTTTGTAGTTAGTAGTTTTTCAATCAGCCTGCCACGCCCCCACACATCCACAATAACGGAAGCGCCACAGCAAGCTGGCTCAGTGTTAACAATTGCCTTCCCATTCCTCGCTTTTTTTTTGCCTTTCTCTCTTTTAAATTTCCCCTAAGCGGAAATCTATTTAAATTGAATTCTATTCTTCGGCCCTGCAACTCATGCTGAGGTGCATCCTTGCGTCGGCAGCTCCTTGTGCTCTTGCCAGCGTTGAAGTTTTGAAAAGTTTTCACTCGGCAGATCGCATTTTACGCATTGGGAATTATATTAAGTCCTCGGATGGCATTTCCATTTCAATGGATAATCATTATGAGAGTGAGCTGCTGTTTCTTCTAGAGCTTCAGCTGCTTTTCTGTAGCTGACGGCACTTGCTGCCACACGGCATTGTTGCCATGGAAGCCATTTTACAGCACACAACTCAGCATACTAAGCTTTGGTTCACTGGGAGAAAATACCTTTAATAATTAGAGATTAGTAAGAAATTACCATGAATCAAAATAGCATGAAAATATTGTCAAATATTATAGCTATGCTTAGATCCTTAGAAGCTTTTACTTCTAGGGTGATGAATACCCTAGAAAGTTTTTCAATTTCCCATAAAAACTTCCCCTCAAATTTCCTACTTTATTTTTTCGTGTACAAAAATATATGGACAGCCGGATTCTGGACCCACACATGCTTATGGATATTATGCATTTTTCACACATTTGTGTAGCATTTGATTGTGCTACGTCTAGGTGTAAATACTTGCCTCTGGCATTTGCACAATGTTGCACAACGCAGCGTATGAGTAATATTTATTCACGCTCTGCCTTTGTCCGCCTTGATGGTGTTTGTAAAAGTGTGTGTCTGGACGGGTGTGTGCGGGTGTATCAGCCAGGGCATTCAGCATATGCCAAGCATAAACATAAGCAGGAAATTCATTTTTCATTTGTTTGCTTAAAAAGTTTTCGGAGCGAGTCCTGAGCGATGAAGATGCTGCCGCTATCGCTGCCTCTGGCATTGCCTTATAAATATTCATCATACGCCGGCGTGCCCGAGCCGAGCACTTATTATACACAAATTAAGGCAAGGAATGCATCCTTTTCTTCTCCTTTTTTCTCATTTTTACATTTTGTTTGTTTTTTGGTACTATGCAGTCAGCGCCCGAAAACGAATTTGAAATTCCAACTAACGCCCAAGGCGTTGAGTGGAAATGCATTGCAATTTGCTTTGCCAAGGCAGTTCGACGTCCTTTCTAGCCGCAATCACACACAGGAAACAATTTAAATATAAAATTTATTTCATATAAATTAAAATTCTAACAAAATTCTTATAAACTAGAATACAATATTTAAGGAAAAACTCTAGCTAAAATATTTGCTTCTTAAACTCGATTTTGTTTATTCATCTTGGCTTTTTCTGAAACTTGTGTTCCCATTTTTTTCTGTGCTTCTTCTTGTTGTTCATAAGACCATAAAACATCAGCTGTTTAACGCACGGCATTTTGCAAATTTATGTCTTCAAAAGAGTTGCACTTGCACCAGGAATATACTATACCATACAATATACATATATGTATAAGTATATGCGAAGTATGAATATATGGCAAAGTTTATGGCGGCGCGGATGCATATATATATCGCATATAGCCCAAGTTGAGTTGGGTCCTTGAGACGAGCCGTCTGCCTGCTGCCTGCTGCCTCTTGGCTGATGGCAAAGTGCGCGTCTTGTTTTGGCAAGTGTTTTGCACGCCGTCGTTCCTACTGCCAGAAGAAGAGTTGAATGGCTCAGCGGCGGTATGTATGAATAACTTGGCTGGGATTTTGGGCT